GCACAGAGATGCTGGAAGAAAAGGATAGCTTTCTCTTTTTTTCTTTTCATGCTTGCCTATAGTTAACATAACCACCATTAACCTAGTTGTAAGCATGCACTGAACTGAGTAGGTTAAAACATGACTAGTTTGTTGCTCATTATGACCATTACTGAGGCATCTTCCAAGCCACTTACTACAAATTAGTCGCTTTGTGTGAGATGGGAGCCTATATAAATGTGACATATAAATAAATTAAATAAATAAATTGCTGATTTCCAGCCTTTACCACGCAACCTTTTTCTGACTACCCTGCAGACCAACTATTTGGAAAAGCGAGTGGAGGCTCTGCACAAAGGATCTTTTTGCAGCCGAGAGCTGGAGCTGGATGTAGGCTGTAAATGGCTTATTCCTGGTCTGTGCTTACGTGAATTGCCCAAGCCCTTACATGGATCTTAGACCAGCTTTCTATTAGCCCACCAAAAATCTGAATCGAAACATTAGTACCGTGGACAGCGACTCTTTGTGATGGCTTCGCATTTGTGACATTCCAATCTCAAAGAATTCTGCTTGGCCTATTTTGGGGAGTGTTTCTCAAATACTTTCCCCAAAACACATGATTGATCTTACGGTTGACTCTGTTGCTATATATGCGTGCGTATGTATGTATGTATGTTTGATGTTGCTTGTATTGTGTTTTAACAGTATTGCTTTTAAAACATTTAGTTAAAGTCTGCCTTTCGAGACCTTCCCTTAAAGACAGAGTAAAAATACACTAAATGCAAAGGAAGGAGAAGATATACTTATTAATTTATTACTGCAATGTATATGCTGATCAGTTCCAAGAAGGCTTTAAGTGGCTTAGAAATTATACAAAATTGCATAGAAAAAATCACAAGGAAAAAACTTTAACCAATAACAGTCAATCTTCCTAACCATTAATGCACCAAGGGAAATGATCATAGCCTAACAATTGCCTGCTGCAGGGAGAAGCCCCACCATATCATACATCCCCAAAGGCTTTCCAGAACAGGCAGGTCATGATGGCCTTTCTGAACACCAACAGGGTTGGTGCTGACCTGACTTCAGGTAGAGCACTCTTCCAAAGGAGAGGGTCAGTTACAGAAAAGGCCCATGGTCCCTCAAGGATGGGGCTCTCCCTACTAGATCTTATTGGATGAACAGAAACTGTTGGAAGAAAATGGTTCTGTAAATATCCAGGCCATGTAAAGCTTTAAATGTGAAAACCAGCACCTTGAATTGCACCCAGAATCTAACTGGCCACCAGTGCAGCTCTAACAGAAATGGTGTTACTTGGGCACATCTGGAGATGCCCTTAACTACGTGATATGAGCAAGTTCCATTGGTTCCTGTTAGGTTGGTAGAAGCAACATAATCAGAACAGGGTTGTCCTAGATTGCTCATCCTCAGCAACTGCCGTATGGTCTGACTCTGGCCACAGGTGAAAGACTTTCCCCCTTAATTATTCTCCCCATCCCTTTTAGATGCTGTGCTTGCCTCCAGAATCTGGATTCTGGTATCGGAATAATAATGTTGTTTATTTTTCTCATTTTGTCAGCCTAGGTCTGCCAGGCAGCTTTTTAAACATTCATATTTTTCCTGTCAGGAAAACCTGAATTTAAAAGAGCCTACATTTCTGGGTTTTTTGATGGTAGAGCTGAGGCCAAAGCTACTATTGCCATCTTTCTGCACTGATGAAGTCCTGGATATTTTTATCGTCTCTTAATGTGTCACATGATTATTTGTTCCTTTCCTTTCAGTAAGAAACATCCAAGAATAAAGCATGTGCACACACAGATGTGCACATACCTGGGTTAAGCAAATAACTGCATTTCCATTTTCCAAGGGCAAAAGTTATTTTAAATATGGACATGTTCTGGCTGGAATTTTCATTTCACATTTCATGTAACAATTTTACATTCCGAACTTGTTAAACCTGCAATATTAAAAAACCAAAAGGTTTTTTTTGTCTATTTTAGGCTTTCTGTTTTAATAATAATTTTATTATTTTATTGTTTACAATTATATTCAGACTTTCCCTAAGAGATCGAGGCAGCATATGTAACATTTCCTCTCCAGTGTTTTAAAGCTATATTTCAACAAACTCCATTCTTAAGGAAGCTCTTTCTGTTTTAGTTGGTCTGCTGTGAAATTTGCTGCAGAACCATTATACATTGCAGAATATTTTACAGTGTGGTGTATAGCAGGCTTGAGAGAAGCAAAAGGGGAGAGAAGGCCTAAAAGATTAGAAAATGGGCATTCTTATGCTTTCAAAAGTCATTGGAGAGTATGCTTCATCATTTGAACAAATATGTTAAGACATTATTTTGTGTTAAATATTGACTTAATTTTCTAAATTAGCAGCCAACAGCAATTTCAAATATCTGAAATAAAACAATTTACAGCAATAAAAATAACACAGTTTTCAAACGATATAAATAACCTCTTCTGAGAAAGTTATAGTGACTAAAAATCAATATATTGGCAATATTTTATATGTAAGGGGAAATGATGTAGAATCAGAATTCTGTGTAACAATGAAAATAATTCTTAAATGTTCAGTTTGTTTTATTACACTTTTAATGGTTCACACAGAACATTATTTTATTTTTAACTTAATATTTTGCAGACATTTCTAGGTGAGGAATGGGCAGAAGATCGGAAGTGGTAATCAGGGTGGCTTGCAATCAGTAGCAAAGGTTTATGACTCATGGTTGTCTAACAATAGAACCAGTTGAAAAGCTCTCTCTTCCCCTCACCCCCCACCCCAACTCTTCTCCCTGGATTAGATTGCTGAAAAATAATTCTTTGGGAAAAGCAGAAACAGATTTTCATGTGAGCTAGGTTCTGCTTCTTTTGATAAATTCCTGGCTTGGTGTGTTTCGTTATTTTATTTATTTATACAAATATTTATAGACCATCCACTTCTGAGAAGCCAAGGCAGTTTACAGTCAAGTGAAACAGCAACAAAACAGAGAAAAACATTACGTCAGCCTTATCTAACTGAAGGCAGCCATTTTGCCATCAGTACCCAAATGCCCTGTGGAACAGTAAGACCTTTAGTGGCTTCTGAAAGGCCATGAGGTTGGGTGCATTCTGTGTCTCAGCAGGCAAGAAGTTTTCAGAGTGTTGAGAAAGAGCCTTGCTACTCCCCCCACAAATTCATTTGGGGTGGGAACCTTCCACAGGCCCTCCTTCAAAGGCCACATGGGATGGACCAAGTAAGGGCAGGAAAAACAGTCCTGCAAGTACCAAGCTGTGACGGGCTTTAACTGAACCAGTGCAGCACAATAAATTAACACTGCTGAATCCGCTCCCTCCAGTTAGCAGACGGGTAGCTGCTAACCAGTTGAAGCATCTGAGCTATCTTCAAAGGTGGTCCCACATAGAGTGTGTTACAGTAGTCTGTGTGGAGACAAAGGCATGAGTCATTGTTGCCAGGGCTTCCTGGTTTAAAAAGGCCCACAAACCATACAAAGAAACTCCACCCTAATAAATGAGGATGGGAATCTCACTCCCAATTGATAGATGACCTCCCTATCAGCCTTTTAAGGTAGACCAGACTAGGAAACCAATGCCATGTAGGTCAGTATTACTTTTATTGTAAAGCTATAGTAACAGAATCTTACAGGTCTGAATGCACTCCCCCCTCCCTTTATCTTTGTGTGAACTAAGGAGGGGCTTGTCTGAGACATTTACTTGTGTTAAATTCTTGTCCTGAACTCAGGCCCCTTTTATCCAACCATTGCCTTGGTAGCAATTCTTTCTCCTGCCCCTCAAGGCCATTCTCATTTCCCTCTACACTCCCCTAGCAGCTTCATTTAGATGTTAAACATGTGAAAAAGGACTGAGCCTCGTGGAACCCCGCATAAGAGTAACCATACACGCACCCACTCTTCCCACACACACACACACACTGGTTAGAACTGCCCACTTAAGAAGGAGCAGAACCACTGTAAATCACTGCTTTTAAGCCCAGATCCTTGTAGACAGTCCAAAAAAATACCATGGTTGAATGGTCTAACAGGACAGGTGTGTACTCCATCTAGGACCTGACAAAGATAATTTACTAGCATGCCATTCTACCCCGTGCCATGTCTGAATCCTGATTGCAAGAGGTCAACAAAATCCATTTCCTCTAGACTCCTATACAACTGGACCCCATTACCTTCACAGCCTTCCCTAGTTTTCCTGAATCCAGCCATACATACACACACCTGTCCAATTGGGTCGTGGATCAAACTTGCAGGTGGCAGAACTTACGCTGCCACAGTCCGACTCCAGATCCTCGGCCTGCACAAGCTCCAAAGAATCCCTTGCCAGAATCTTTTGCCAAGATTCTTTCCAAAAGGAGTCCAGCTGAGAAGAATAAAGGTACAAGCAATTTTATCCGGAAAAAAGCTTGCAAATATGTCACAGCAGCCTCCCAAAACAGAGGCTGAACAGAGCCACTGGGAACAACTCTGCAGACACAGGAAGTGCAGAGAAGTAAAAGCTTTGCCACTTCATGGTGTACTCCCAAGTGTGGATATGCACCCATGAGCTGTCAGATTTATTCTGCTTTTGGCCACCCTCCCTCTAGGCATCTTTTCAATTGCCGCATCTGCTGTGGCTCCACGGTAGACCGAGGAGTTTGCTGGGATCTGCAAGGAGAGTAGGCAGATTACCTACTGCCCTTGCCCTCTCCATATTCCAGAGGTTGGTGAGGCACATAGAGCTGTCTGCAAGACTGCTGGGAAACTCCTGTGAGACCTCCGAAAGCCCAGAGGGCCAGTAGGCACTGGGATGGGCACCTTAACTGGGCTGCCACCTGCAGGGGACAGGTGAGCTGGCAATGTGTAGGTGATCCAGAAAGCAATCCAACATGGCAAAAGACTGGTCCTTCACATTGCATATGGATAGTGGCATCGTGTCCATTAATTCTTAACATGTATCTGCCCACAAGATCTGCAGATCCCTAGATCTATTTGTGGACTTAGTCTGAAGCTTGGCCATCCTAATCTGCTTTATTGATTGGACAATGTGCACCAGCACATTCACGTGATTCTGATAACCCAAAATTCTTTATCGCCTCTTTGTTAACTGGGTCCTTGTTTTCCAGAGCAGCTCACATCAATAAGAGAGAGATCCTCTGCCATCAGGCCTGCAAACGAAAGTTTAAAAGGAAGAAGGAGAAGAGCAGTCCTTCAAAGTCAGGATACAGCGGTGAGCTAGAGGTTGTAATTTAAGACAATTTGGGGTGGGCTGCCCTTCTCTTGCTTGTGTTCTTCCCTAAATAACAATTGACAGTTCCTGTTCCTTCGGCAGATGGGTGAGACCAGAGGGCTCTTTGCTTTGACAGAAGTAGGATTGTGGGTTGTTAGAGCTAAGTGTTCTTTCTGGCAGGATGGAGGAAGCGATCTGCCTGCAGCTGTTCCTTCTCTTGATAATAGCTGGGCCAAGCTTGATCTCCTTGGCTTGGTGGCATTCCTGGGAGGCAAAAAGGGTCACCTCCAGGGGCGCTCAGTTCCTTCCTGGCAATGAAAGCCAGAAGATGCTCGATTTTCCAGTATTACTTTGGATTGGAGCCCCTCTGTCTGTCTTTCATAGTTATTCCGAAGTGTTTCTTTTTTACAGTCCACATCGGCATCATGGCCTCAAACTCGGGAATTGTTGTTGATGACGGGGAGAGCAGCAAGAATTGTACACTGGAGAGATGCCTGAATGTATTTCGAGATGCGAGCAATGACAGCGAACAGTTTGCAGCTCTGCTTCTGGTAAGCCTCTGGACTTGCCCAGGTGAGACAAAACTACTCAGTAGGCAAATGTGGCAATCAAGAAAATCCCCTTTTGTTTTAGCTACTCATTCGTAGTTGGCTAGCTGTCTGAGGGATAAATTCACCTTGGTCCCACCTGTAAAATGTAGTGGTGGTGATGATGATGATGATGATGATGATGATGATGATGAACATAGATCTAGCATTTTTCGAATGTCAGCCCTTTGGATAAAAGCTACCTAATGTTATTTAGATCATTTGTTGAATTAATAGCGTTTAACCTTCTCCTATAAATCAGAGATGGACAGGGTGGATGAGAGGAGAGGGTTAGCTAATCCACTGGTTGGCCCTGGCAAGCAACTGGCATCCCGCACCCTTTTGATACCGTACACTTCATTTTTCAGGTGACCAAAGCAATAAAAGCAGGGGAAATCAATTCCAAAGCCCGTCGGAGGATTTTCGATGCCGTTGGCTTCACATTCCCACACCGGCTTCTGACTTCCAAGGAGCCACCTGAGGGCTGCCCCCAGCACACGTTCCAAGCTCTGGGTCTCACTTTGCTGACCTGTTTCTGCACCGATCCAGATTTAGCCCGGCATCCGCAGATCCTTAACAAAATCCCAATTTTCAGTGATGTGATTTCAGCCGGCAAGACCAGAGATGCTTCGTACAGTGCCATGATCGATGATGCCTACCAATGCCTCAGAGCTATCTTGGCTACCCCCAAGGGTCCCAGGGAGTTGATCAACAGGGGGGCTCTCTCTGCCCTCTGCCTGGCCTATGTGAACCACAGCTATGGCTATGATCAGGCCCTTCAGCTGCTGGTGGGGCTTCTGACATCAGCGGAATCCAAGTGTTGGCAGAGGGCTACTTCTGACCTCATGAGTGTGCTTAATGTCCTCAGTGTGGAGTTCCAGAAGGCTGAAGACATGGCCAAATTCCAGCTGTGTGAAGTGCTGGCCCGCTTTGTGCCTCCCCTTCTCCCCCCCGGCTCTGAATGTCTCCTGCCCCTCTACCGAGGCCTGTCAAGCATCTTAACAAGCAAGCTGAGCGCCTCCCAGCGAGACCCTGCCTTGAAGCTGACCGCCTGCCTCTCCCAAGCCTGCAGTTCAGCCTGGATCCCAGCCGGCAGTGCTGGCAGCAAATTTTTTGCCCTCTTGATCAACTTGGCTTGTGTGGAAGTCCGCCTGACCTTGGAGGAGCTGGACCTGACAGAAGTGGATAAGAAGCGGGAACTGATGGCTGCATGCTACGTCCTGATGGAACTCGCGATTGTGGAATGTACACGGGAGAAAGGCTCTCTCCTCCAAGAGACGCAGAAAGTGCAGCTGGTGGGAATCCTGGAAGAAGCTCTGGGGGCTGTCATACATTACCTGAGACAGGTAAAAGAAGACCCTGTTACAGGGAATGGTTCATCAGCCTTTTAAGGTGGGAGGTTGAGGCTGGGAGGTGGGTCAGATTAGTAAGGTGCCCCTGATGTGCAGGAGAGGCAGTTCTGGCAGATAGGAGGAAGTTCATCGCACAGAGAAATAGGACACAGGACAGGGTGGAAAGGGGAGTTTATGTGCCATTCCTGGGCAATTCTTCCCAAATGTGTACTACTGTGACTTCTGTTTCTGTTGAGTTGTGAGTTAGGAGCACCTGGCAGGGAGCCAGTTGGGTCCTGAAAAATCACTTTAGGAAAAAGAGAAGTGCGGGGGGAGTTCAGCTGTTTTCCTGGGCTGGGTGCCTGAGATGTTCAAGAAAACTCGTGGTCTGACAGGTGCCAGCTCTTTCATCTGCCTTGAGGCAGCCTCGCTCATGAGTCAGCTTTGCAGGGCTCCTTGCCACAGCCCTTCTTTCCTGCCCTGTGAAGAAGCATTTTTGCAGTGGTTTTTTTCTCTGCTGTTCAGGTTGGGCAGAAGAAGCTGGAGGATCCTTTCATCTTTGCCTCTGTTCGAATCCTGGGGGCCTGGCTGGCCGAGGAGACCTCTTTCCTCAAGCAGGAGATCTGCGACCTCCTCCCCTTCCTCATTTATTACGCCAAGGTGCAGTTTGAAGAGGAGAGGAGAAGCAGACGAAGCGCTTCACAGTCTGAAAAGGAGCAGGCTGGACAAGGCACCATCCCAGAGCCTCTTTGGCGGGGCGATGCTCTGAGGTGAAAAACACTGATGGTTGCTGAAATGAGATAATTGATAGCATTTCTGCCCAACAGCTCAGTTCTCCCCGTGTTCTTTTGGCTCTGGTTTCCAGGGTTAGAACTAAAGCAGTTCTGTCTTGTTTGCATTTGAAGATGAAATGGATCATGCTGAAGGGCAGAAAAGACCCTGGTTCAAACGGGGACGTAAACGTACTGCTTCCCAGCCTCCGTTGCTCACTTTGTAATGTGAGAAGCATAACTGATAAAGCTGCATGCTACTCTGTTTTTGAAAACTTTCCTGAACATTTTGACAGCAGTTTGCTTCTTGAGGGGGAAAAGTGAACTTTCCTTTTATAACGTTAATGATTTATGATTTGATGGGTTTGGGTTGGTTGCATCCTGTGCTTGTAGGATGATCTGAGAGGCTTGCTGTCCCCCCGGAAGCTGCATGATCGTCTTTTGCAGAGTCATTTGCTTGAATCTCCTGGAAGAGATGTTCCGGCATTTGCACATTGTGGATATTGTATTAGAGATCCAATTTTGGCTGTCCAGTGCTCAGATTTCTCAGCCAGGATAGCCAGTTCTCACCTGCTAAGGAAATTCTGTGTCCATTCTTGGCTGCCATGAACTTCCCAGGGCAGATTGCCATGCTGACGACTCTCATCTTTATGGGGATGCTTCCAAATGAGTCCTCCTGCTATTAGTGTTACGGCTGAAGTCTATGAGCCTGGTTCCCTTTCTGAGTGCAGGAGGAGGATTCTGTGTCCCTCCATGTGTTGCTGACCTACAACTCCCAGCCCCCTTGTCACTGGCCTAAAATGTTTTAGCAAAACATTCAGAGTTCTCCATGCTAAGCCCTTAGGCTCCTCTGGTTAAGGTATCAGCTTGTCTCATTTCTATGATCTACGATAGCTTATAATCCCTAAGAGCTTGGCAAAACCAGACCATGTAATGACTCCGATAGCCTTAGGTTTGTTTACCTTCAACTCCTACCCTTTGCTTTCTGTTCTATTGCAATTGAGCAATTCTTCAATATCATTCCTCAGCTTTGTGGAAAACCCTGACATGTAGGTACCACAGTTTGACTGAGCAGGTTATCAATACACCTTGCTTTGAAACATGGAAACATTTCCTCACTTTTAGCTCTGCCTTTAAATCCAAAATGAGAGTCCATTTGGGAGGCTGTTGGTAGATTTGTATGAACAGTTCAGCCCTCTGGTTTGAACTCACTTCCAGTGCCTTGTGTTTCCTCTTCTAGATTTCTGTTACCTGGTTTAAGCCACTTGACTGCAGAAGATCGCCCCCGTGAGATCCTAATTTCTGAGGGGGCGCCTGTTCTCTTGTGCCAGTATTTCCTGCACCGTTGGGAGACCTTTGTTTCAAACACTGAGTCCCTGTCTGCTTCAAAAGCTATTGAAGCCAGTCTTCAAACATCCTGTGAAATTTTCCTGAATTTTGTTGTCACTGCTCCCGATTTAATCAGGTAATGGATGTAGGTGGAAGTGTAAGCAACTCCTTTCCCTGTTAGAAAGGCCTACTTCAGTTTGCTGCTTGAGTGAAACACTCCACAGGGAGTTGCTGCTAATTGCTGTTGCGTAGGCGTTCGCCAGCGATCCACGAGAGCTAATGGGCATACGTCTCCCTGTGCGCCTGGCTGCTCTAAGAGATCTTTGCACATTGAACAAGAGATCTAAAAAGCCTTTGTAGCATATTCAGCTGCTGTGATTATTGAAAACTCTGTGTTTGGGGCTCATGTTTTGCAGAGTTTCTGACAGCAGGCAGTTTTGTAAGCCCTATCAACTCTCTTTGCACTGAAAGCATCTGGATGTGTTCCTATGAACAACCCCATACCCAAACACAGAACCATAGGCTAGGAAGGAACGTGGAGATAAACCTGTCCAACTCCTTGCTTAGAGCAAGATCTGGACTGCAGGATTACTTAAACCCTGTCAGAAGGCTGTCTGGTGATTGCTTAAATACCTCCAGTGAAAGGGAGTCCACCCCAAAAGGCAGTTTGTTGTATTGCTGAACAGCTCCTAACAATGGGAAGAAATTGGCTTCATCTTCTGCATGACAGCCCTTGAAATATTTGAAGGCTCATCATGCCTGCCCTTAAGAGTTTCTTCACCAACCTAAAGATTTTCAGCTGTTTTACGTAGGACTAGGTTTCCACCCCTGCCCTTCATTCTGGTGGTTTTTCTGTGGATGTGTCTGACTTCGTGAGATTCTATTGAAGCGCAGTATACCAGGGGCAATGCCAGGTCGCCTCTAAAACCCATCTTTGGGTCGCCTCTAAAACCCATCTTCCAGAGGGGTTTTTCCTATAACTCCTGGCATTCCTGTATGCCCGATCTATGTGTTGTCCAGAATTGGGCAGAATTTCAATATATAGATGAAATAAAAAGCATGAAAAACCAACTCAAGAGATTGCAGTTTAGGTTGTTACTGATGACGTTTGAATGATAAGTGTCTCAGGATCCGTCTTTCCCTCAATCTAACATAACACCAAGTGCTGTCGAAGCAGAGAGCAAAATTTAGAAGTCCTAAGAATATCATGCAAGAAGGAGGAATTGCAAATAACCTATTCTGCTTTTCCTCTCCCCAGCCGAGAAGATTGTTTTTCAGCCTTGATGGATACAGTGCTGAAATCTCTTCCTTCTCTGCTGCCGCAGAGAGAACATCTTACTTTGAGTGCCAACCTGGCCACGCTGGGGCTAATGATGGCGCGGAAGCTGTTCGCTTATCCAGGCAAGCAGGGGTGTTTCTTAAGTTCTGTCCGCTGAACTAAATAATTGGAAGCAGAGAGGTGACCAAAGTGAGGATAGTTTTGGTCTTGTTTCAGTGCCAGTTGGCTGGGCTCACATTACTGTGGGTGGGTGCTTGCATAACCACTACACGTTCCCTGTATTTAAAATATTTGCTAAAGTGTTGCCAAGTAGAATGCTGCCCCAGACTTCATATTAACAGTTGCATTTCCCCCCGTGCCGCAGCAAATGCAGCTATGCATCCATAGGAGCTTGAACTGCTTGCAGTTTCGAGTTCAGGTTATCTCTTCAGTGAGACCTGCAGGCAGGTGAAGAAATTACCATTGCATGTTAGAATGATGCCCTCTGGGTTGCCCAACATGATATTTTCCCCCATCCCAGATTGAGAGTTGATAGATAATTTGCCTTAGCGCTGTGGGGAGGCTGTTTAAAGGGAGCGAACCAAGACATGGGAGTGTTTCACCGAAGCAGAACAGCTGCTAAGAAGCAAACTGTTTCTCTGCTCTGGATAGCAAAGGACCCAAAACCTACGCAGCCATCCAGATTTCGATTGGGGAATGTTCTTATTTTAAATACTGGTTTTTTCCCTAACCTTGCCTTTCCTTTGAAACGCTCCGGATATTGGAATGAAGGCTAACAATGAGCAAAACATTGTGCTGGAACAGCATCGTTCTGGAACTTCCCACATTTTTCCCCCAGACCGGAATCACCTGGGCATTTCAAGGGTGGCTTCCACTTTTACAGAAGTGGATGGTCTGGAGCAGAAAATGGTTAGCAGTGTTCCAGACACAGTCCACTTCTGCCCAGGCACCAGTCCTTCCCAGGACGCTCAGACTGGCCAGTTCAGGGCCAAAGCCGATTGCTCAAGCTTTTTGCACTGCTCTAATCCAGGCAAAAAATACTGGTCTCACTTTGCCCCTGCCTGTGCCTTGGATGGGCCTGTCTTAAATCCAAACGATTCGGGGGGGAGGGGGGATTGCTGTCTCCAAACTGGATCAGGATGGCTGCCATCGCCCTGGATCCATCTAATGTGACTCTTGCGTTTTCCCTCCCAGGTCTCCAGGGGACTCCTGAAGCGGAGAGCTTCTTTGGCGCTGCCATCCGTTTCCTCGCCGAAGCCTACATGGCCCAAGCCAACCCTGAGGGGGGGATCGTGACCCTGGGCGTTTCCCCGGCCTACAAGGCTGCCTGGCCAGCCATCCGCGAGTTGTGGTTTTTGGGAATGCAGGCCTTTGCTAGCTGTGTGCCCCTCTTCCTGTGGCTCCCCCAGGACGTCCTGCGTTCTGGCTGGCTTCAGGATCTGCTGGCCTTGCTGGGCCGCGTGGTGCCATCTTCAGTGGACATGGAGGTGGTGAGAGCTTTCCAGGGCGTCCTGGTGGAGCTGGCCAGAGCCAGCCAGCCATGCTTGGAGAGGATCCAGCAACACCGGGGCTTGGAGCTGGCCAGTCTGTATGGCATGGCCGCTTTAGAACAGTGTCTCTCCGAGCAGTGAGCGTGCTCGGGAAGAGGTGGTGGGAGAAAGATGCGTTCTCCCAGAAGTCGCGGCTTCCCTCTGTGTCACGCAGGGGGCGGCTCTATCGTAGGGGAGATAGTGTATGTCCGGCCTCTCTTCTTAACCAGGTAGCTTGCACAAAGTTGTACAATGTAATAGGGGTTGGTTTATTTCTTCATCATTCTTGATTATTTATTTATTTATTTATTTATTGGGGAGGTTTTTCTGCCATCTTTCAGGGTGGCAAAAGACTCCCGAGGCAGCTCACAGAAATAATGAACACACACACATGCACACAGAGGCAAGCTTTTAGAAATTTAAAGAACAGCATAAAGCGACTCAAATTCATAATAGGGATGATGATGAAGATGATGATGATGATGATGATGATGATGCAACAGTTAAACTATCCAGCCCCAATATGGTGTTATTTAAAAGATTGGGGCAGGGTGGGGGGGGGGGAGG